GTACATTATTTGCAAGTATTCTATTCTCAGGAGCTTTACGTAATCACAAACATCCTTTAACAACACAAAAGCTCATGCAAGACTAGGAAAAGATTGCAAGCAAGCAGGCAGACAGACAGACAAGAGTTTGATTCTCCCCCCCCCCCCACTATAATTGGATTGCACATCAGAGAGGTAACAGATGCAGCTTCTAGAAGCAAAGCATTTCATCACATGTTGTAAGTGGTCAGGATTTCAGCAAAGCAATTCTGTCTATAGTGGACAGGCAGCAACAAAAATAGCAAAACAGACTGATTATATACTGCAGGTGAGTGTCAATAACAGCCCTTGCTGGAAAAGTGGCTCTTACGACCACAAAAATGGCTGGCCTCGGTATCTGCAATCCAGCAATTAACATTTCACGTGCCTATTAACAAGAGCAGGAAAAGCTCATGTGTAGCCAAGAAAGGCTGTGTGATTTGTCATTCAGTGCACGATCTGATAGAAGCATCTGTAATTACTACTACTAATAAAAATGTTCCAAACAGCGTGATTCAATTAATTATGAAATTATTCCTTATTTTTGGAGTTTTGAGACATTTTAAGCTGCCCCAAGACATCGAAGTTATACATACGGCTAGTCCTCAACTTATAACCATTTGTTTAATGACTATTTGAAGTTACAACGGCACTGAAAAAAGTGACTTGTGACCATTTTTTACACCTCAAGTGAAAACGTTGCAGACTCTCCATGGTCACATGATCAAAATTTGGATGCTTGGCAACTGACTCATATTTATGACAGTTGCTGTGTCCCGGGCAGTGGTGGGTTGCCCCCGGTTCTATAGACCGGTAGTAAAACCAGCAGGAGGCTCCGCCCACTGACCCCGACATCATCAAAATGCTTCTGCGCATGCGCAGAAGAGCACGCACACAAGCATGTGCGTGGCCCCGTTGCGAACTGGTAGTAAATGTAAGTAGAACCCACCCTGGTTCCGGGGTCATGTGATTATCTTTTGCGACCTTCTGACAAGCAAAGTCTATGAGGAAACTAGAGTCACCTATCAACCGTGTTACTAATTTAACAACTGCAGTGATTCATTTAACAATGGTGGCAAGTAAGGTCATAAAATAGGGAAAAACTGACTTAACAATTTTCTCATTTAGCAACAGAAATTTTGGGCTTCATTGTGGTAGTAAGTTGAGGACTACCTGTATTGTATTATCTTTTATCTGTTTTACCCTGGAATTTATATCCTGTATTTAGATTCTCCTCCTCAAATAATATTGCCTGCAGTCTCTGAAGGATGTTCTCCTTTTTCTGTTACAATGACTGCTCCTTTAAGAGGGTCTCTCTCTCCTCCCTCCCTCCCTCTCTCTGTGTTATCAGGTAAAGAAAAAGACCTAGCTACGGAATTGTGGCGTTCACCATGACAGCTGCTGAGTTATGACAGCAATTTCTGGACAGTTATATTGCCGATTATCATGGTTGTGTTGCCATCGGATTCATCTGACTTGGGAAGAAGCTCAGAAATGCCATCTCCTTCAAGAGAAGGAATAAAAGCACCAGATGTTGGCATGACAAATAAGCCAAACCTAAGGCAGCTCTTTCATTGGTCCACTCCATCACCCACTTCCCTTCTGTTAAAATGCCATATCAAAAGATTAATTTCACAGCCCCAGACTAACTTCCCTTCCTCCAACCAGCCTATCTTAAATGGCACATCATTTATCTCTTAGCCTCCAAACTGACAATGCCAATTTTAAGATACATATCTATCTATATTCTATCAGTTAAAAGCAAAGCCCAGAATGCTATTTCTATTCCTCCTCGGGCAAGATCCATAATTTTTTCGTAATGGAGAGATTAGTTCTTTTTAAAGTGTGCATTTAGAACTTTTTTTGCTTACCCTTCTTATCCCGTTTTAAAGGAATACAAATAAACGTGTTTCACCTTTGACATGCACCGTTTAATGACCATGCTGGATGGACAGAGGTCACTGCTCATCAGTCTACAGTAGTATCAACTTGGAGAAGATTAACTTCGCCCCTTAATCCTTACTTCTAATTCTAGATAGATAGTTTAAATAGTTTATTAATCAATTAGTTTTATGAACATTATCAAAAATATAAAACAAAAATCAAATATCAGATTTAATTCCAGGATAAAATAGATAAGAGCCTGATAGTACAGTGGACTAAAGCACTGTTATTAACATCTACTGCTTGCAATTACTGCAAATTCAAATCTCACCAGGCTCAAGGTTGACTCAGCCTTCCATCCTTTCAAAGGTAGGTAGAATGAGGACCCAGATTGTGGGGGGCAATAAGCTGACTTTGTATAAATATACAAAAGTATGAATGCTATTGCTTAGCGCATTGTAAGCCACCCTGAGTCTCCGGAGAAGGGCGGCATGTAAATTAAAGCAAAAAAATAAATAAAAATAAACGATAATACACTACCGGTAGTCCTCGACTTAGGACCACAACGGAGCCCAACATTTCTGTTGCTAAATGCGATAATTGTCAAGTGAGTTTTGCCCCGTTTTATGACCTTTCTTGCCACAGTGGTTAATAATTAGTTATTATTGCAGTTATTTAGTAACATGGTTGTAAAGTAAACGGGGCTTCCCGATTGACTTTGCTCATCAGACGGTTGCAAAAGGTAAAAATCACATGACCCTGGGACACTTAAATGGTCATAAATATGAATCAGTTGCCAATCATCTGAATTTTGATCATGTGTCTATGGGGATGCTGCAATGGTTGTAAATGTAAAAAAAATTGTCATAAGTGAGTTTTTTCATTGCTGTTATAACTTTGAACAGTCATTAAACTAATGTTTATAAGTCTGGGACTATCTGTAATAAAATACATATGCGGTAAATACAAAGAATCAACAGTCAGGTAAACCTTTACGTGATATCCCAATTTCTTCAATATAACAGGTCCTTAGTTCAACTGCCTTAACTACAAACTAAGCAGCTCTGCTCATGTCTATAGATTAGTGCCCAGGAGGAAATCAGATAATCTGCAATTCAGGTCCCAGCGGCTGTTCTTTCAAGATAGATGTTAAGTATCTAAGCTTAAGAGGGACATATAGTTGATAATCAAACAAAACATGAGCAATTTCTTTAATGGCTGTGGCACCATATATACATGTCATCTCATCATCTGGCAGGTGGTAGAAGTACCCTTATTTCACCATGAAACTCTAGGTGTAAATTGGCTCCATTTCCACTGTTATCCCAATCAGTGGTGAAATCTGGCTGGATCTATGCTGCTCGCGCGAACCGGTAGCGCCGGTGGCGGGAGGTTTGGCCCAGGGGTGGGTTCTACTTACCTTTACTACTGGTTCGCAACGGGGCCGCGTGCATGCGCAGAAGCGTTTTGAGAGCGTCGGGGTCAGTGGGCGGAGCCTCCCGCCAGTTTTATTACCGGTTCTATAGAACTGGTGCGCACCGGGGGCAACCCACCGCTGGCTTGGCCACCCACCGGGATGTCATTACATCTGGTTTTTGACCCTCTCTGCATGTGCAGAAGGTTCTGTGCATACGCAGAAGAGGCGCGTGCGAGTGTAGCGCGCACACATGCGCACATGTTCACATTCTTGAACCGGTAGTGAATGTAAGTGCATTTCACCGCTGATCCCAATGTTTTCTCTTCAGTCCTCCTTGTTTTTCAATTGTAACCTCTTGGTAGAAATAGACATTTCATACTATTTTTTTAAACTCATGAAAGTTGCCAAGTCCATATTTACCATAGAAAAACCAAGGCACGGAGATGCAAGAAACCACAACTTGCTTTAAAGCCTACCCAAGTTTGACTCAACGTGATCAAAAAATGCGCAAAAGCAGACAGACTTCCAATTCCCTTACATCTCCTGCCCATCATACCAAGGATCGATCTCTTTCACTAAGCATTGCTCAAAGATCCAATATTTTTCTTTTCCTTCTGAATTAACATGCAGGGTATGGATTTTTCTCTTCCTTATTTCACTTCACCTGATCAAAAACGAGGCAAGAAATTTTGCTGCAAAGGTTAAGCTCCAAGCACATACTGCCCTCCACCTGCAAAGTACCCCAAGGCAGACCAAATTTCTTTGTTGTCTGAGGCACAAAGTGACAATGCACACCTTCCTATCCTTGACAATAATTATAATAATAATCAATATCAAAATAAATATTTCCAAAATCTGCTACCTGGGATAACTCTTCTAATTCTGCTTTATGGTAGGTGCTACTGTATAGTCATCAAAGCTATGGCTATTATTACTGAGTCTAAGAATATGGTTAATGCTCGAGACAATTTGATAGAGAGTTATGCATCTCTGAATAATGATTGGAGGGAGAGAGGGAAAGGGAGAGGGAGGGAGGGAGAGGGAGACAGAAGCAATGTAGTAATCTCATTCTATTATTCTGCATCAAGTTCCTAAGGAGAAGATAAAGAATTGGCCCACTGACAGGTGACTTTAAGCAGAACTCTTCCATAAAGCTCTGCCTATGTGCTGAACCTTTCTTTTACTCTTCCTCCCCTCTGCTGCATCCATACCCTACTTTTCTCCTTCACAGAGGATAAAGAGAAATCAGCTGGCATATTCCCTGAGTGTGAGATCATGTTAACTTGCCACTAACCTATGCCCCCTGTTTGATGATTTGTTCTTTCAATTAAGCTCTTGTTTTCAGGTACTTGGAAATAAAAATGTATTTATGCAATGTAAGGAAATCATTATCAAGGCGTTTTGCTTGTCACAAGGGTAGAAAGATTCCCTTCTCTTTCAATAACTGTAGAGCAGCGGTCTCAAGCTCGCATCGTCACGGCAGCGTCACGTGATGTATCGGGACTTCCCCCCCCTTTGCTAAACTGGGCGTGGGCATAGCCAGCGCATGATGCATCTGGCCTGCAGGCTGCGAGTTTGACAGTCCTGCTGTAGAGCTAGTACTAAAATGAACCTCCATTTTCTCTTTGCATTCTCTGACATGAAACCATACTTGTAATAGTTGATTATACACAGATCTTACCTGTTGCATTGGAAAGAGCCAGCGATTCCATTGAACCCCGAGGAGTTTGTTCTGTGCGTGACAGTTTTTCAGTGAATTTCAACGCACTGAGTGGATGCCTGGTCCGACAATGTTGTTCCGTCATGGTACTGTCTTCTTCTTGGTCATACTTGTAACTCCCTCTGGTTTCACTAAAACTCTGGTTGGACATGTCACTGTAACTCTCCTGCGACCGTAGCCTTCCTGAGTAATAATCTTCTCGGCATTCCTGAATGAAACTGCCACCATGTCCTTTCATGGCTAAAGAGGAGCTTCTCTTTGGGTTGTTGAAATGTTTACCCCACATTTCTTGTGGAGGACCTGGAGTCTGTGCTTGGTTGTAGGGCGTCCTGACATTACACTGACTGAGCAGCTGCAAAGGGCTTTGCGATGGACTTTGCTCCATTTTGTTCCCGTAGTGATAGAGTTCATCTCTGCTTCTCCATACGTGGTCCCTGTTTAGGCTTGGAGTTTGGCTGGACAAACTCAGCAGGTCCATCTGCAAAGACAGAGGGTCCACATCTGCAGACAGTCTGCTGGAGGTCACCTGCAATTGATTACTCTGGCTGCCGGCATTCTCTTCTCCTTTGTTCCTGTTCTTCCCAATCTTAGCACTACGCCGGGATTCTTTGGCTCTGGCGCTTTGGAAGGCAGAGTCCGATGAATCTGAACCGTTTGGATCATCTCCCATGCTGCACGCCCTGGAGCAAAAAATCTGCCCTTGCTTTGGCAAGAATGGTCGGCCAAGCAAAGATTTCTTACACTGGGCGCAGCAAAAACAGGTCTCTGTAGCATGCCAGTGTTGGCCATCATACGTCATCTGACCCTGGTCGATGCCTTTAGATAATAAGGGAGAGAAATACTGTAAGTGCATATCATAATGCAATTTGGAGCAAACAGATGAGACATTTAGCAAGCTAATTCCCCCTCTGTCGTAACTACTAAGCCAGGGCTGTCAAACTCGTGGTCCGGATGCGTCACGTGCTGGCCACGCCCCTGCCTCATTTAGTGAAGGGGGAGAAGTCCCAATACATCATGTGACAATGCCATGATGGCGCGAGTTTGACACCCCTGTACTAAGCAAAGTGTAGTAATATTTATCACGATTGTGACATTTTCTTGTTATTCTGCTATAATTCAAAAAGGGGGCCTGATCCAATTTATTCCTTAAGCACGTCAGGCAGTACATGCAGTTCTTTTACCCACGAAATTTTCCATGCACATGAACATACAAAAATGGAACATTTGTAATGGAGAGCAAAAGATTTCTATAGGTAGAATAGTCATTATGGGGGAAGCAGAATACATTGATCACATCATTCCATTATTTCACAATATATACAGTCTAGTTTGGGGATAACAGTTCCAATAGTGAAAAAATTTGTTGAAATTATATTACAAGTATTCTATAGCAGCGGTGAAATCCTCTGAAGTTTGCTACCGGTTCTGTGAGTCTGCTTTGCGCACAGCGCTAATAAAGGAACATTTTGAAGCCTTCCGAGTCTGCAAAGGTAAGTAGAATAGCAGGAGGGTGGGGGGAAAATCCGCTATGCCACACGATTTAGATTAGCTAGAAAGCAGGAAATCTAACGATTCTAGCTAATATAAGTCATGCATCAAAGCTGATCGTCACCCAGCGGATTGTCGGAAATACCGGTTCAACCGAACCGGTAGCATTTCACCCCTGTTCTATAGCCTGTGGAGTCCATGAGGGTCCCTGAGCTTGTTTGCAGACATTTCATTAATATACAACTAGACAACATCAGTGTAATGAAACGTCCTGAAGCAAACAACCAAGCTCAGAGAGCATCAAGGACTCCATAGTTCAACCCGGAGCTATATACACAGTTCAACCCGGAGCTATATATATATATATTCTCTCCTATTGAAACTCTATATATGGCTTTTCTGGAATATTATATTTTAACATCCTGTTTCAGAGAAAGAAGCATTCAGAACATGAACTCATCACTAAATATGTTTGCTCTGGATTTATATCAGGTTCCAGAGTGCAAAAAAAAATAAATAAAAAAAATTTAATAATCATCATTTTCTCTAGTCTATCTGTCAAATGAAGCAGAAAGAAAATGGAGCCTTCAGAGAATTATCTCATTTGCTAGCTTTGTCATCAATCTTCTGTCATGAAACAGCAGAAAAAGATGTGCCTTGCTCATCATTCAAGACCCCTTGGAGATTATTAAAAAGAATTAGGCCAATTGGCATTTCAACAATGAGAAACACTGTTTTCAATCAGAAAGAATTCTCAAGCTCAGGGGTGTCAAACTCACATCGTCATGGTGGTGTCACGGGACGTATCAGGATTTTTTCCCCCTTTGCTAAACCAGGTGTGGCCATCACGTGACGCATCCGGCCTATGCACGGGGAGTTTGACAGCCCTGCTGAAGCTTACCTGTCATGGGTCCGTTGTTCATGAAATTAACACAACTCCTTGCCACCTCCCTTTAGTCCAGTGGTTTTTACTTTGCAGTAAAACAAAAACAAAAAAAAAAGCTACATTCTCAGATCTCAGGCGGATATATTTGTAAAGGGCAACAGACAAACTTCCCCACCTGACACCCTCCAGATGTGGGAGATGATCTGACCATATGAACTCAGGATAAGGAATCTTAACTGATATTGAAAAGTTATAGTCTAACATTAGCTTGAGGAAGGTTTGAGCTAGATAACTGGAGGAGTAAGCTTTAATCAGAGTTAGGTCAAGTCAATGGGAAGTACTCCTATTAACTAATTAATTAATTCAGTTTTAGTTGTTGCCTTTGCCGTGTCAATTCTCTGTCTAGAACTTGACACCTATGTTTGGAAAAGTGGTCACCAGTTGACTACCCAAAGCTGAAATGCAGCTGCTAGCATAAATTGTGCCCAGCAGATCCTGATACATTATAGAACGAGAGGTTGGTTAGAAGTGCAAGACCTAGTTCATAGAAAAAACCCAGGAAAAGCTCCAGGACCAGACAGGATAACTCCTTCTTCCTTAAAAGTCTGTGCTGACCAATTGGCCCCCATTTTCACCCGTATCTTCAATAAATAGCTAGAGATGTGCTATGTTCCTTCTTGCTTAAAACGCTCTACTATCATCCAGTGCCGAAGAAGCCCACCATCAAGGAACTGAATGACTACACACCAGTTGCTCTAAAATCTGTAGTTATGAAAACCTTTGAAAGGCTAGTGCTGTCCCACTTGAAAACCATCACGGATCTGCTGTTAGATGCCCTGCAATTTGCATACCGAGCAAATAGTTCAACAGATGATGCTGTTAATATGGCTCTGCACTACATCCTACAACATCTTGAATCTCCAAAAACCTACGCAAGAGTCCTCTTTGTAGACTTTAGTTCAGCATTCAACACCATCATTCCAGACATTCTTCTAACTAAGCTAAACCAGCTAGCGGTACCTGAACACACTTGTAACTGGATCATAAGCTTCCTAAGAGACAGGAAGCAGCAGGAGAAGCTAAGCAGAATCACATCAGATACCTGTACAATTAGCACAGGGCCCCCCTAAGGCTGTGTGCTCTTTCCACTTCTCTTCTCTCTATATACCAATGACTGCATCTCAAACGATCCATCTGTTAAACTACTGAAGTTCGCAGATGACATAACAGTGATCGATCTCATTCGAGACAATGATGAATCCGCATACAGACGGGAGGTTGAACAACTAGCCTTGTGGTGTGACTGGAACAATCTGGAACTGGAACACTCAAAACCGTAGAAATGGTGGTGGACTTTAGGAGAAACCCTCCCATACTACCATCTCTTACAATACTAGACAACACAGTATCAACAGTAGACACCTTCAAATTTCTAGGTTCTACCATATCTCAAGACCTAAAATGGACACCTAACATCAAAAAGTTATCAAAAAAGCACAACAAAGAATGCTCTTTCTGCACCAACTCAGAAACCTCAAACTGCCCAAGGAACTGCTGATACAGTTCTACAGAGGAATTATTGAGTCTGTCATCTGCACCTCTGTAACTGTCTGGTTTGGTTCTGCAATCCAACAAGAGAGACACAGACTTCAGAGGATAATTAGAACTGCAGAAAAAATTTACAGACCCTTCGCATCCTGGACATAAACTGTTTCAACTCCTACCCTCAAAACGATGCTATAGAGCACTGCACACCAGAACAAATAGACACAAGCACAATTTTTTTCCAAACGCCATCACTCTGCTAAACAAATAATTCCCTCAACACTGTCCAACTATTTACTAAGTCTGCACTACTATTAATCTTATCATCGTTCCTATCACCCATCTCCTCCCACTTATGACTGTAACCTTGTTGCTGGTATCCTTACAATTTATAGTGACTGTTTCCTAATATGATCTGATTGCTTATTTGTTCTCTATGACTATTATTAAGTGTTGTACCTTATGATTCTTGATGAATATATCTTTCCTTTTATGTACAATGAGAGCATATGCCCCAAGACAAATTCCTTGTGTGTCCAATCACACTTGGCCAATAAATTCTATTCTATTCTATTCTATTCTATTCTATTCTATTCTATTCTATTCTATTCTGTTCTGTTCTGTTCTGTTCTGTTCTGTTCTGTTCTGTTCTGTTCTGTTCTGTTCTGTTCTGTTCTGTTCTGTTCTATTCTATTCTATTCTATTCTATTTGTGCAATAAACTTCTCTGAGTAAAATATAATTGAGTTGTTGAGTTGATCGTGATCATTGAGTTACAGAGTTGATCTGAAGCTAACTTTCTAGTGATCCACTGTGACACAGAAGGGTGGGCACCTGAGAAGATTAAGAAATGACTATTTCATACACTGTTAAGCTATGGTTTCCTTACTGTTGAACAACTATTATTAGCTAAGTTTTCATGGCAAACTAAACTGTAATCTATGCATTACAAATCATAATGGCTGAGTTTGCGCAACATGCTAAACCAAAACAAACAAACAAAATCCTCACAATGACTAAGTGTGATATGGGAACTGAATGCATGCTCTTCATTTCTCCCCTGTTTGGATTAACATGAAGGGATAAATGTCAATGAACTTGGTAAATCCTGAAAATTGTTCTGTCACATCCTTAATCTGTGTTCCTGGCAGACCACACTCTTTGTGAATCAATGGATCTGGCCCAATTACTAATAGAAATGAGTCACTAATTATTATAATTGTTCATCTTGCAGAATCAATTTTATCCTCACTGCTCTTCAGAGAGTCTATCTGCTAAATCTGGTTACTTATATTAATGGGGACATCATTTCTATAATAATAGTAATAATTTCTTTTTACCCAAAGAATGCTGTGAGATTTAATCAAGCACATCCAAATTTGTGACAATGAGAAAACTATCCCCAATAGACTGCAAAAATGGGCCTAAAACTAATTATCCTTTCATTTGCCCACAGTGAGTAATAATTATATGTTTCTTTAAATTGCTTCAAAAGACTAACTAAAGTTTGTACGGACTGGTAAAAACTTGTAATTTTATTTAAAACCAGTATACCAAAATCAAAACAATTATTTACAAATAGGTTTAAGTGGCTGGGCTGTTGCCAATTGTGTTGACCAATTAATTAAACATGTTAGTTTAGCCATCAACATTGTAACAAGTCAACTGTTTGACTATGAAGATTCTCAGTCATCCAGGTCATGGTTGTCCCAAAGGTGCTTTTTCAAGAGGCATACTGGACTTTCTGGCTTTTCTTTGAAGATGTTTCACTTCTCATCCAAGAAGCTTCTTCAGCTCTGACTAGATGGTGAGGAATGCATCCAGTCAGAGCTGAAGAAATTTCTTGGATGAGAAGTGAAACATCTTCAAAGAAAAAACAGAAAGTCCAGTTGCCTCTT